AAAAAAGCAGTCAGGGTTGTTTTGTCAATTAAATGTGAAAATACATGTGAAAGACAATCAAATCCTTAAATGCTTAAGCACTAAAATTAGTAATCCACAAGTTCTCCATGTGATGGGTGGAGTGGTAACACTCTGTTCTATAGGTGAGAACACCACTGGGGCATATTGTGTTCGACCCCCAGCTCCCCCTCCTCCAGCCCCCTATTAAAAAATATGTAATAGTTGTAATGGGTTATTGCCCTTGTTCGCTAAAAAAATTATTGTAATCCATAACATATATAACCCAAATTACTCAGCAGACTACAAAATTATCAATTTAATACGAAACAAAGCAAAGGACACAATAAATGACTTTACCAATGATGAAGACATTGGTTCTACAGTTCATCATGAAATTGCAACCCAAAACTGCATATAAAGTTTGTGAAAAGGAGAAAACATAATTAAAGTAACTCATATTATACCATACATTTTATAGTCCAAGCAAGGGCTCAAACTTACTCCCACTACCCAACATAGAAGTATGGTACTGACCTCAACGTATAACATAGCAGCCTCTCTAATCAGAAATATGAACTCACCTCGAGGTGAGTTAACCCCAGGTTGTGGGACCATTTTATTGGCCCAAAGATCAGCTTTGCTTGCCCATTGATTTTAGCCTACAATTGATCATAAAGAGCAATTATGCTTTAACTATCACAAAAGGTAATGATCCTTCTCTTAATTTACTAACACTCTTCAATGCCAACTCTATAGAAATTAAATCATCAGCACCTAATCACACCAAAGAGTTAATGGCAGCAACATCATATGACATTCATATTGATTCTTGACATTGGTTTTAAACACAGAAGTTCTATAATTAATCAATCTCAGGCAACTCTAATCCTTTCTTCCAAAATATCTTTTCACACCCAGTGTTCTCCAAGAAAGAAACAAAAAAGCAACAAATATCCAAAGAAATGCAGAAAAGAAAAAACAAATGTCTAAAGCAATTTAGTTAGAACCACTCTCTAAAACGCACAAACCACAGCAAGCAATGGAAACATAATATAACCCTATAAACAGTAAAAGGACTCAAAGACTCAAGAGTTAAGATCCCCTATTACCTTGTCAACATATTGCTGTGTTGTAACTTAGCTTCAACAGTTACCTTCTTAAATGCAGTCTCATGAATCTTTAAAAACACACACACACACAAAAAAACCTCTATTAGAATCTCTATTATTACACTTTTTGATTAGATAAGAAATAATAAAAAGTTTCAATTTAGGCAAAACGATTAGATATAAGAAATAAAAGAGAATGTAATCCATATCCATATGCAAAAAGTTTAGAAACGGGCAAACACAGCAAATTGAAACTCAATCAGGCACCATAAATCTCTTATTTCAATGAAACATTATGTATACTGCCGTTGAAAAAGGCTTAGTAATTGTGTGCATGAAAAGGCTTAGTAAGCATGTGGTATGCATCAATAAACTGAGCAGATTTCTAAGCAGCGTAGTATAGGCTCTCTCTTTCTAACAAAGAAGATGGTGAGAAATTCATTTATTTATATATTTATTAGCAATTTCATCCAAAAAAATATAATTCTTAAGCAGAGATTATGAACTTATAAAGTCTTAAATTGACCTCAAATTTTGAACGCACAAGATTAGGATGCAGTTTTTTCTGCCAATCCAACCTTTATAATACTTGAATTAAAAAAAAATAAAATAAAATAAAAGCTCGTTTGATTAAAGATAAAAAAGCCTCAGCATTATCTCAAATTGGACCCTTAAATATGCACTTCTTGGGACCAACTTCACTGTGCACAAACCAAAAAATATAACAAGAAAAATACATAACACTGTACAAAGGCTGATTTGGAGTTGCTTTTTAGTAACTCCTAGCGGAGGACAATGGGTTAAAAACGGTATGGTTGGTTATTAGTTGGGAGAAGCACATGTACATTCTGATTGATCATGCTGTCATACAGTGCAATTAAAACAATCATGGAAAGAGATAACAACAGATGTTAGGATTGCAACAGAGAGCATCTAAAGACCAACAAAATCATCAATGCTTAAAAATCAAGGAATACAATATTAACCCATTGAGAAGAATTTTTGACAAAAATAGAATAAAATGAGCAGAAATATCACAAAAATGACCCATTCAACAACAGACTATGAATTCTGGACAATTAAACAAATTAGAATTCTCATGACTCAATCCAATACTGAGAACATGTCCAAACAAATAATGATTTCAACATGGATAGAATTCAATCAATATTTCTTCACAGAAAAAAAAAAATGCAACCGACACTCAAAATAAATAATAGACTTCAATAACTGATCAAAAAGGGGAAACCTTTCAACCACTAAGGACAATGACCATATGGGTCTCACATCAATAACAAATACATGCAATTAAATTAAAAATAAATAAATAAAACTTTCATTGTCAAAATAACAAAGTTGAAGATGCAATGCCAGGATCTAATCCACTTGAGATCATTTCCTCCCTGAGGCAATGAAACAAAAGTGAGAAGATCCCTAGGCTCTATAAGAAAATCAAACAAATTAAACAATCACAAAGATTGGGACCTGAACCAAGATCAAGTGGTAAGCAGCTTGTTCCAGCTTAAGCAAGTTACCGAGTTTGAGTACTTGTGTATGAAGCAGCTGCTGCTGGAGACTCATCCACCATTTACAGGTGCGCAACACGGGTTGGGTCCGAATTAGTCGGGGCAAAACCTGGATACCGGGTGAAAAAAAAAAAAAAAACAAAGATTGGGACCTGGGCTTTGCTGCAACCTATGTTTGGCTAGGTTTTGCTGCAATCCTTCGCTCGATATGTACCTAGGCTCGTCGGTCGGCAATCATGGGCCCTGATCAGACTAAAGCTCAACGAAAGGGGAGCCGCGAGTGCTCATCTAGAACTTTGCTTCCGTCCTTAGCCTGAGTAGGGGTGAGCATTATTTTTGTTTTTTGGGGCAAAGAGAGATATAACATACATTTGATATTTAATTTAAAAGTTTTTGAGTATATTTTTTTAAATTTGGTATTATTTAAATATTTAAACATCTATGCACTTGACCTTAACCTATAGTTATAAATTATGTTGTAAATTATGTTGTAGGTGTATCTTAATTGAAGGACTGGATTTGAAATTTCTCATCTTTAAAGTTGTAACCTATTAAAAAAATATTTAAAAATCTATATTAAGTAATTTGTGGCTATATATATTTATTAAATGATATTTTATTTTAATTTTTT